CAGGAAGGGAAGGGGGGAGGACACATGGAGCCCGGGGCCAGACTCTGGGCTGAATGCAGCGCTGCCGCTTTGAAATGCCACGTGGATCCTGATGCCGGGCTCCCCACGGCGTTTCAAAGCAGCCTGATTTTCAGAGCATTAGAGTCCCCCCCACTGGCCCCATGCTCCCTGCAGCGCTTTTGCTTTAAGTGTAACAACAGCCCAGGGGCCACTGCTACACTTCAAAGGCAGGGACGCCCTTATCAACTTGCAAATTGTATCGACTATTCGATTAGCCTATTAATCTAAATTTAACATCCCTAATTGTTAAGTTTGAGCTTAAGGGTAAACAAAGGATATCACATCAGTTAACTCCTTTGTAAAAGTGCTTTGAGATCTACTGATGAAAGGTATTATTTTGCCCATTAATTTTCAGTAACTTTCCATCTTCAGGCTTGAAGTCTGTACAATGGTCTCTAAGTTTATGCAAGTGGCTCTAAACCCTCATACAGGAACCCTTATAGAGAAATAAATATATATGGTTTCTTCAATCACTTTCTAGAAGAGATGCAGGTTAATGTTTGGTGAGTCACTACATGCCTGTTATATATTCTCTGATTTTATTCAATATTTAACTTTCATGCTAGAAATTTATCAGTATGTTACCAATGGGAAACTTTAACACGAGTTATTAGTATACATTGGTTGAAAATATAACAGCATGAACATAAACCTTATAGAGAACAGAGGGAAAAGCCCCTTCCTACTGCAACAAAACCTCTTCAGTCACATTAAGAATCTTATCCATACTGAATAAAAATATGGACTTGCAGACCTTGGGTTCCTAGGCTATATCTACCTACATCATGATGGGGACTAGTTAAAACTGCCTCCCATTATTGCTTTATAAATAAAATGTTGAGAAATATTGATTTGCTGTAGCAACAAATAACAGGAATTTACCTGCATTTCACAATAGGAATAACTGTGTAAGAGTATACAAGTAGCTTTATACATGTATAATTATATAATTAAAAAAGGTGATCTAATTCTGTTATATCCATATTGTAGTGCCCTGGGATTTGAGTATTTGTTAGAAACACAAATATCATGTTCCACTTACACAAAGAACTCTTGTGTCTGGTCAGAATTTAAAAGTTCAAAATGTAGACAGGTTATCTGTCACCATGCTTTTAATTTTACAGGCAGGTCTTCCTTTGAGCTGTGGTATCCTATATGTTTTTTTATTTTTTGAATGTGCAAGTGTGATTGTTTCTTCACAATTTCAATTTCTGTATCTCTACAGAGATTGTATTTGGTTTATATATAAAAAAGACAGCTTCTGAGTTAGCTAGATAAAGCACCACTGATTTCTCTGCTTTATTGGATTCCATATGGTAAACATGGGGAAAGTATATTTTTACATTGAGATATATATATATATATATATATATATATATATATATATA